AGCAGGGCAAGCCGGGGTTGCGTTGTCTGTGTGGGAGCTCCTGCTTTTAAGGAAGCCATGATTTGCATAAAACATGAACTTCGGGTGAAATTCAGCTGCAATTTGAAATCACATTTTATATGAATTCTGCAATTGTGGTTGTATTTTGTACAGATTTCTTTGCCTTGTTTGAAAACAAGTTGCGAGTTGTGGCCTGCTTTAAAAATGGAAGCCCACAGCTCCACCTGTGCTGGAACAAGTCAGGCCAGCACTGGGTAGATGGGCTGGAACCTGGGGGCACCAGCCAGACCAGTCGGCCATATTTTGACCCCCAACTAGATTATTTGCACATCTATAGGTGCCCCATTTGGCCTATGAAGGCCTCCTTGGCTTTGGACCCATTACCTGTGAGACTACCCCTCCTTGGATGGTCCTACCCAGTCCCTGTGGTCAGCTTTGGAGGACCCCGTGTGCCCCCTTCAGGAGATATTCAGGAATGGCCTTTTCTGTGGCAGCCCCATGTTTATGGCATTCTATCCCCAAGGAAGCTTGCTGTCATCAGCACCACCATCCCTTTAGCATGAGGCAAAGGCATGTCCCAATGCTCCCGTCCCCCACCTGTGCAATCGGGACATCTGTTCTGTCCCCATTGCTGTGACTCGCTTTGTGGTCGTTTTGGGCTGATGGTGGGTGGATGCATCACATTAGGTTTTTATAGTTTTATTTTTATTTGCATCATTATGTTGAGCAGGGCTTATACAGATCCTGGTTTCTGGCTTTTAGATTAACAATAGATTTCTGTATAACTGCAAGTAAGTTACTTTCCTTTTCAAGGTGGGAACGTGAATAATAACAGAATTTTAATAAGCCACAACAACCATCATCATCATCATCATCATCATCATCATCATCATCATCGGGCTTTCTTCCTTTTGTACCCTAATGGAAAAAGGCAACGTAAGGGCAAGAGGACTCTGCCTCTCACTGGATTCCCACCAAAGCACCAGCCTTGCTCCCTTCCACTCCACGGAGAGTCACGGAGGTACAGGTTCCGCTCTCCACTTAACCATGGAACTCAGTAGTCCACTTTGGACCAGGGCTGCCCTCTTAGCCCAACCAACCTCACAGGATTGTTGTGAAGATAAAAAGGAGGATATGTGAGCCACTTTGGGTTTGCCGCAAGAGGAAAAAAGGCAGGATATACATGCAGTGTAATAACAATAATACGGACTATCCACTGGATGCGCAAGGTCAGGAAGTGAAATGACATCTGCCTAATTTTTTCTGGCTTGCCTGATTTAGCCAGTTTGTAATGTGATAGGAGAATCTGGCTCTTTGCTAAGCGCCGAGTTTCAACACGCAACAAAGCAGGATCCCTGTATAATATAGTAACTGAGTGTAACGCTTAATTCCAGCCTTCAAAGAACCCTTAAATTGGAACAGCTTTAAGTGTAAAAAAATCAGTATTAAAACTGATAATGTACCTTGGTACATCTAAATTTCCCCTGAGGACAGGCTGCCTTAACTGTCATTTAAGGTTTTACATTCTGCCTTTAAATCAGCTATTCCATTTAAATAAAAAGCTCTGATTTCCCGCGGATGAAAATGCAGCTGCTTCGTGTATCCCTTCAGCATTTTGATTTATTATTGACTCTCTACTCCTTCAAGGAGAGGATTCTCTTAGATGACGCTCCTTGTCAGGCTCCATACTTCTTTGGCACTTTGTATTAATCTCTCCTGATCTGTATTCCTGCAATTTGGGAGGAAGAAAAATGGGGAAAAGGTGGCAATTAGGTAGTTGGGGATGAAAATACATTTTCCAGACCGAGTGCATCCTGAATGAACAACACCATTGCGTGTCATTAAGGAAGTTAAGGGGCAAGTTATCTGTGCACAAAGCCTTGATTTCCCTGTAATTGAAAACACCAGAATTTTCAGATGTCTCCTGCGCCTTGCTGGAGCAACTTGACTCTTCCTTGTCCTGTGATTATTCTAGCTGTACTCAGGGATACTGCATATATGCTTTGCTTCTGTGCATGCAAGTGAATGCAAGTGAAAATAAATCATAGAATGCAGTTGGGCTGAAAATACAGCTTTCTTTCAAAAAAATCTGAGCAAGTTTCTAGTCCTTATGCCTGGGAGAAATATGCTTAACAGAGTCTGTGTGATGGCTTCTTTGATCTCAGAACCCAGAGAGAAGATTTCCAGTGGGACAAGGTGTCAGGCTTCAGCACCTCCCTAACCTCTCCCTACCTGTGACAGGCAAACCCAGAATGTAGGATGCAGAACAGAAAACATTTTGCAGAACTCGTCAGCAGTGATTGTTCTGCAGATGCCTGCAAATTGGGAACCACAATTCTGCTCTGCGGTAATTACAGACCTCTCTGCTCATCAAAAAACGCTTTCAGCTTTGGGAACTGTGCAATCGTGATAAAGAGAAAGTGTGCCACTGAGCCTACACAGAATGAATTCTTCTCGCCAGCATTTGTTGAACCCAACAGGTATGCCGTTCACAGTCTTATCACCAGCTCTGCAAACACTTAATTTGTTTGCTGCTTTCAGGCTGAAATGATTTCAATGCATTCTTTCCTCTTCTCATGGTTTGAAAAAAAGGAAACAAGGCGCCCCAGATGGAGTGAGAGCTTTTTTTGTGTGCTGGTATTATGCGGTAATTTTAGAGAGTGGCTGTTGCCTGTAATTCATTGTCATTATACAAATTCTTATTTCAAGAAAATGTGCTGGAGATAATAAATCCTTATGTAAATATATGCCCCTACATCTTCGGATTTTGCAGAGCTTCTCCATCTCCGCTGTGGCTTGTGAATCCAGATTGTCCAATGGAAAGAAGGGGGTTATGGTCCAGTCCAGGGGGGCAATGAGTCTTTTTGGACCCTGGACTTCGTGATCAGGTTGGGTGGGGGGATCTTTAGGAAGCCCTGCATATTACTCCAGTTGTGAAGCACACAGCTAATATTTTACTGTGGGCTTCACAGGGATGCTTCTACATTATGTTTCGACAACAACAAATGCTTTCCCAGCTGATCCTACATGGGCAGTTTTGGATGCTCAACTCACTACAATCATAACAGTGCTGTGAGCACAGGAGGGGCAGCTGCTTCTGCTCCCCTCCTCACCTGCCACCCTCATTCCCAGTGTCAAATGCTACAGGGCCGAAATGGTACCCTCTGCACAAGAGGAAGGCATTGGCAGATCTGAACTGGCAAAGGAAGCAGCCCTAAGGAGGAGAAAGAGCAGCCTCCAATAGTCCCCAGGGGTGCCGTGCTTGGAGGGCACAGAACACAGGGCTGAATGCTGAAGGGGAGGATGGAAAAACTGGCGCGTGTGTCTGGAAAGGAGTGTCCTGGAAAGGACACACGTGTTTGGAACCACAAATCTGAGCACTTCGCACCAGGGCATTTTGTTGAAATCCTGCCTGGGCCTCTGAATTGGAAAGAGACAACTGCAAAGCAACAACACATTCAGAGGTACAAGCGGCAAACCCTGCTGAGCGTGGGTCATCTTGCTTCTTCCCCAGATCAGGCGAGTCCAAAGGCTCCAGCCACAGAGTGGGCATGGCTGGGAATGCTGGGAATGCCTCATCCCCAGGTGAAGCTCGCTGGAGGACCGGCGGCTGTATTTCTGCAGAGCTTCATGCAGAACCCAGCCATCTCCAGCACGAGTGGCTATTTCAGTTTTCTGGAAGAGTTTACATAGTCAGCGTGTTCATTTCTCATGGTACAACAGGGATTGCTTGGAGGCACGAGGCTATTTCATTCATTCATTCATTCATTCATTCATTCATTCATTCATTCATGGAATTTCTAAACCACCCAGTAGCCAAAGCTCTCTGGGCAGTTCACGACCATTTAGTGAGTGTAGGAATTGCTGCATGAGGACAGTCAGGGCCAATTTCCATTCAATGGCTTTGGGTGTGTGTGAAGTAGAAGGGCAGGAAGAGGACTGAGTGGTCTCTTCAGCCCAGACTGTGCGAGTTGGGAAATGGTTGGATGGGAGTGGCTGGAGGTCAGGGGCCACATAGGGCATCATGTCTGGAGGGTGGCAGCTTGGAGACAGCGGCCCCCCAAGCCCCCAAAACACCAACCCAGTCCAAGAATATTGCAAACAGATAAAGAGGTGGGAGCAGAGGAAGGGGTGCAAAAGGGTCGGCACTTAATGGTGGGGGGCACGGTTAGCCATGATCCCAGTCTCTTCCTGCATGTGCTTATCCCTTATCTTCCATATAATTAATTTCTCCTTCTTTGAGAAAAGGGATTTGCCACATCTGGAGAGCACAGATTTAACTGCCAGCATCTTCTGGAGTCTGCATGTGCAACAATGCGTTGCATACAATCTGTACATGCGCAATGCATAACACTGCAATTTCCCAGGTTCCTGAACCATACCTGTCCTTTCTCTGGCCCCAAACCACTCATCCTGTCTTAATAGCAGCCATTTCACTAGATCTCGAGGCCTGAATGATTCCCTATGCCCGTAGTGGAGAGCCTATGCCACGCGTGGCACAGTGGCCACGCAGAGGCCTCTCTGCCGGCACACAAGCCAAGTCGCCCCAGCGTCACCCCAGCAGCCGAGCATCAGACAACAGCACACACAGGGGCCATGCGCGTTCTCAGAAAGGAGAAGTGGTGCCAGGCAATGAGGTCACATGCCGTGACTCATTAGCTGTGACTCGTCCGAGCTTTGGCATGGCTGGTCAGTGTGCTGCCAAGGATATGTATATATTTTCTTGGACTGGTTGAGAATTGTTTTTTCGAAACTAAAACCTCAGTTTTCAGGTTTGATTGCAGTGTTGGCACTTTGCAATAAATAAGGGGGTTGTAGTTTGGGCACTCGGTCTCTAAAGGGTTCACCATCACTGGGTTAGGGTTAGAAAAGTGAGGTGGCCCGGCATGATTTTGATGGCTGGAATGTGTTTAGAATGGGCAGAAATGTTGAGTTGTGCAGAAAGACCTACTCAAGGAAGACTTTTGCAAAATCACCCCCTCTTTTCAATGGAACTTTCGCCCTATATTAGGGTTAGGGGTGTGCACCAGGGTAGGGTTAGGGTTGGAAAAACGAGGTGTCCTGGTATGATTTTGATGGATGGAATGTGTTTAGAATGTGTAGAAATGATGAACTGTGCAGAAAATCTACTCAAGGAAGTAGATTTTTCAAAATTGCCCTCTTTCCAGTGGAACTTTCTCCCTGTATTAGGGTAAGGGAATGCACCAGGGTAGGCTTAGGCCAGTGGTGGTGAACCTATGGCACCTGTGCCACAGCGGGCACACAGTGCCCTCTCTGTCGGGATGTGATTCAAGTCATCCCAGCATCACCCCAGCAGCCCAGCATTGGATCACAGCACACATAGGGGCCATGCACATGCTCAGAAAGGAGTAGTGGCACCAGGTGATGACATCATGAGCCACGTCTCATTAGCTGCGACTTGTCCAAGCTTTCATATGGGCAATTAGTGCACTGCCAAGGGGGGGGAGAGAGAGAGAGAGAGAGAGAGAGAGAGAGAGAGAGAGAGAGAGAGAGAGAGAGAGTTGCTTGGAATGGCTGTGAGGTGTTTCTTCTAAACTAAAACCTCAGTTTTCAGGTTTTATTGCAGTGTTGGCACTTTGCGATAAATAAGTGGGGTTTGAGTTGCAGTTTGGGCACCTTTCTCTAAAAGGTTTGCCATCACTTCCCTAAGCAAAAAATGGTACTCCTGATTTGTGTTTCTCCTCTTGTGAAAGAGATGAGTTGACATCAGTCGCTAAAAAGCTACAGGTGGCTATCAGGGTAATAAAATCCTTGCCCCTGACCAATTTCCACATTACCCCCACCCTTCTACCACCCAGGATAACCTTTCCTTCCATGTTAATTTCTAGTCCAGCTGATCCCTTTCCTTGGAAATGAAGATCCTTCCTCTGCAACACCAAATCCATTAACTTTATTATTCCAAAGTCTGTTTCATGATTGCTCTATTTTAGGTTCTCAAACTACATTCCATCAGATTTTCTTTGCTTTTTTGGTGGTTGTCAGAGATCTAACAAGAGTTCTTCAGTGCTAACTCGGATGCTGCCTTATGGATATCCTGTTGATATGATGAGAGGTGAAAAGGAGCTATGTAACCTGTGATCTCTTGCAGAGCTGTCAACGCTCCCCCCAAAATAGATTGCGATTTTTACCAGACCACCACATGTCTAGACAGCTGATATTTGACACTTTGCATAGCTAACACATGTCAGAGTACTCAAAGTGTAAGCATTTCCTCCTTTCTGGTGTTAAATGCTGCCCAAATAAGACTCTTGATCACTTTCTTGTCTTGTTACAGGCGTGCACAATCACACATCTGCCTGGGATTGTGGAGGCTGCCACACACAACTCTGACAAGCCCTCCTCACACTGACTCACCCCAGCAACAACCCTGGTGTTGCAGCAACAATATCAAGGTGCCGAAGCCGCTGACCAGCCACCCACCCTAATGAGAACACCAAAACAGGGGAAATGCCCTCGGAATATTCTCAAGGGCTGCTACTCATTCCTGCAGCAGGAAGTGGGCAGCAGAATTAAGCAGTGATAAAATGTTTTTCGAATAATGAACCAGGAACCACAGAACAGGAGACATAGGACCTGTTTCCAGTGCATTTCCCCCCTGCATGTTTTCAGTAGCAACAAATACGGGGGGTGGGTGGGGGTGTTGTCTGGGGTTGCCAGACAAGGCTAGGGGCTGGGATGCCTGTGACCCATGGGCTTCCTCTTGCCAGACCCTGGCGTTTCACCCATAGAAGCCACTTTAAAGCCTATCCTATCCTAGCCTAGCCTATCCATTATGTACTTGCACTATTTCTATAACACTAAATAACACTAAATAAGAAAAATCCCTGAGAGGTTTCTATGAAAATATTAAAATCACATTAAAATTCAATTTTAAAAAGATGATGATGATGATCAGTGCAAGAGTGGTAAAATGGAACAGCATGGATAATTTGATTACAGGCCAGGGAAAGCCTGGTGAACCAGTGTGTTTTTGGCAGGTGTTTAAAAGATGCATTTATGCATACATATATGCATTTAATATTTTTGCTACCTGCTTGCTTATGATCTGCATCTCTCTCTCCCCTTTTCTCCCTTTCTCTCTGAGGTATGGTCTGTTTGCCACTGGCACGGCTTATCTTAGCTAAGATCTCAGCATGTTTGCAAGTTGCGGCTCATTAGCTGAAGGCCAATTCATGATTGGCAACATGAGATCTAGAAACTTGCTGTTTTAAACACCCACTCACCACTTGTCATTCTTCACTTTAATTCATCTCAGTGTATGGCCAAAACATTGTAAGAGTAGAGCTAATTTTTAATACATTTTTCAGTGAATCAATAATCAGACCTGGTGAGGAGAAAGGCTAAGATGGCTTTAAGAGATAGTAAGTCAAAGAAATAAAGAAAAAGTGGAGCTTGCTCATGGGTACATGTGAGCCATTAACATTGTCCTCCAGGGCAGTACCTTGGCAATTCTTCCTATGGGGTAATACCCTGAAAACGTTATGTCAGAACGAAAAATCCATAAGGTTCTCTCAAGAAAGAGCCACACACGGGAGTGGATAACTAGCTTTTTGCTCTCAGCTCTTGCCTGAAAAATCCATATGGATTTTCAGTTCTAGCTTAACGTGTTTTTCAATTGTTCACTCATTCTTATGATTTTTGTCTTTTGCTTTCCTAAAAAAGCACCCAGAGCAATGAACAGTGCAATAAAGACAGAACTCGTTTCCAAAATAAAAGAGCATTATTTACATTGCATCACTAAAAGCAAAGCAAAGCAAAGCAAAGAGAAATGAAGCCAAGCCCTGTAAGAGCAACCATGTAGGAAAAGACACTCTGGAATAATAAATGGAAACTACGCTAAAGGCTGAAATATGTTACCAGCCTACATTTATCTTTGGTGGAAGAAGGGTCTTTCTTCTTCTTCTCATTTACTCTTACCATGAAGGCACATTTTTTGCCTGGCCGCTTTTTTTGTGCCAGGAGAACTTTGGTGGGAGTGCTGTGGGGCAGAGATTCAACCTAGCCTCTGAAAAGAGTGAAGGACCGTCTCCATTCTGCTGCTTCAACAAACGGGAACTGAGCAGAGAAGGGCCAGAGCTGAAATTATGCTCCATACCCGGCAGCTCTTCAGTGGCCTGGAATGCTTTGATGGTGGAAAGCAAAGTACGCACTCATTTTATATGATGAGCATGAGGGGCCCATAGTAGAGTAACAAGGGAGCCCAGCCAGCCAGCCAGCCAAGCCGGCCCGTTCCTTGCATGCGGTCTGGCATGGCTCCCTGCCAGCAACATTCTGAAAACCACTTGTCTTCAAAATAAACATTTCCCCACAATCCCCCAGAAATCACATTTTATTTTCACATTTAGATGTCATAAACTGGTATGTCTTTTTTTGTTGCTGTTGTCACATAACCTTGCACTGAGCACAGAATGAAATATGTAGCATTTCCAAATTCAGCAGACATTGGCAAAGGGTGTGCGATCTGCTTTCCAAGAATGACAGATTGCCTTTTTTTTTTTTGCCAGCCAAATAGGGACAATTAGCATGAAGAGCCGGCATTTGGGTACAAATTCAGTGCAGCGGTAACTTGCACGTGTCGGGCTCTGTCCATCATCCATCGTTCATTTCAGTGGAGTTTGCACAGGAAAAATATCCAGGCGCAAAGCCCCCTTGGGACGAAAAGGCACTAGAGCTGGGCTAAGTGGATGCCATTACACAATATATGCCCTGCCTTTTGGATCTTCCCTCTGCTCTCCAGGCACCTAAAGTCAATAAAAGCAATGTAAATGGAGAGCAAAGACACCTTCCATAGCAAAGCAGGCAACTGGCACAGCTCTTGGTAAAACGCATCAGGAAAGCAGGGCAGCCAGTCCGGGGCAGGGGTCAGGGAGGTGGACTGGGGCTCAGGAGACCTGGTTCCTAGACCCCATTCAGCCATGAAAGCCATTGGGTGACTTTGGGCCAGTCACAGACGTTAGCATAGCCTACTTCACAAGGTTGTTGTGAAGGAACAAGGAAAGAAAAGAGGTTCTTGTGTGCTATCTTATGTTTTGGGGGAAAACACAAGCCATACATGTCACAAATAAGAAAGGGTGTGCTTACTGGGCTGCTAAAAACCTCAAGCAAGGAAACTACATGAATTCCTGAAGGCAAATATTGCAGAACATGGGTTCCAAAACAAAAGAGGCCCTGGCCCGCGCTCCTGCCGGCTGCACCTCAGATGGAGGTGGGACACGTAACACAGGCTTCTCTTGAGACTGAAGCCCCGGGAACGCTCCTTCGCTCATCCTCACGCCGGCCTGGCCCTTTAAGAGTTGGTGGGCATACTGATAAGGCTGGCCAGCCATAAGCAGTTGTCCCAACCATGGAAAATGTACATCAGCAGAATAGGAGATCTTCTGGTTTTGCAGCTCTTGTCTGGGGCTTTGAAGAGACTGAAAACTTGGCCAGAAGCACCGTAAACACTTCGACAAGGCCTATTTCCACTCTTGAAGAAGTAGAAATTACATGTGGTGATACCCTGATTATCTGCTTGCAGACTGGAGGCATGAAAAGGAAGCTTCATGGACGGTAAATCATACACAGGACAATATTACTTAAGGGAAATTCCCCGGAGGTGAACTTCAGAACATATGGAGCTGAGAAATATGCTGTTGCTTAGCTCCTTTTACATTCCAAAGCTCCTAGTCAGTGAATCTTAAGGACAGGAAAATTAATCATGTTAATCAAAGAAAAGAGTGATCTTTTATGCTGCTGAGGTAAAATAATAATCTACCAGGCACACACGTGTGTGCATTCATTTTTTGCCTGAGCAATGTATTGTGTGTGTGCACACGCGGGCGTGTGTGCATGTGTACTGTGCTCCCCACTCAAGTTAGTGAAATATTATTTGGAGCAACGCTATGCCACAATGACTTCATAAATAACCATGAGTCGCATGGGAAGGAAACAGCTCGATTTTTAGCAAGGTTGTCACCGAGCAAATGAAATTGGAAAAGAAGAAGGAAAGTCTGAAACCCAAAGCTCATTTAGGTGGAAGCAA